CATTCAGATGAAGCAAAAGCCAAACAATGCACCAAAATTCGAGGTGGGCTGGGACCAGAGGCTCGCTGCCCGAAACTATATGTTCAGGCCACCTCAGAAATGAAGATATGCGAAGCAAGGGTCCTTTTGTCAAAACAGACAGTTTTTCAAGCTAAATTCAAGGTGGCCTGAGACCAGGGTTTGCTGCCCTAAAACACTCTGTTCAGGCCTGCCAAGCGAGAGCAGAGGATGCACATTGTCCTTCTGCTGCTTGAATGTGGCCTTTTGTTCACTCAAAAGTTCAAGATCTCCCAGCTGTTTCCACCTCTTCGCTTCCCAGTCTTCCCAGGGTTCATATAGGGAGCCAGGCCATTTTCAGAATCTTCTGGATTTGAGCTGTTCGAGTTCCTATTGAAGGGTATAGTTGGCGAGTGCGTCACCACCCGCTCCAAAAGCATCAAAGCATCACCCCCCAGAGTTTACGTATATCTTTCTCCAAGAGTTTACGTCGGGCCACCCCCCCCCCCCGACCCCCGACCGACTTCACACATAGATAATTCCCATCCACATTCAGATGAAGCAAAAGCCAAACAATGCACCAAAATTCGAGGTGGCCTGGGACCAGAGGCTCGCTGCCCGAAACTATATGTTCAGGCCACCTCAAAAATGAAGATATGCGAAGTAAGGGTCCTGAGGTGTCTCTGTGACAAGGCTTTTGTTAAAACAGACAGTTTTTCAAGCTAAACTCAAGGTGGCCTGAACAGAGTGTTTTAGGGCAGGGCAGCAAACACTCTGTTCAGGCCACCTTGAAAATGAAGGTCTGCGAAGCGAGAGCAGAGGATGCACATTGTCCTTCTGCTGCTTGAATGTGGCCTTTTGTTTACTTAAAAGTTCAAGACCTCCCAGCTGTTTCCACCTCTTCGCTTCCCAGTCTTCCCAGGGTTCATATAGGGAGCCAGGCCATTTTCAGAATCTTCTGGATTTGAGCTGTTCGAGTTCCTATTGAAGGGTATATGTTCTCGTTGGCGAGTGCGTCACCACCCGCTCCAAAAGCATCAAAGCATCACCCCCCAGAGTTTACGTATATCTTTCTCGAGCCACACATGCACAGCAAAACACAGCTTTGAAGTCTCATTCGTGCTTTGAACTTGTATAGGTGTGTAAGAGGTATAGCAACATAGCATTTATACGGACCCAGGGTAGCTACAATTCTGTTCCCAGGTATCGCGCGCATGAGGCTTCAAAGCTGTGGTTTTCAAGCTAATTCAAGGTGGCCTGAGACCAGGGTTTGCTGCCCTAAAACACTCTGTTCAGGCCACCTTAAAAATGAAGGTCTGCGAGGCGAGAGCAAGGGGTGCACATTGTGGGTTCATATAGGGAGCCAGGCCATTTTCAGAATCTTCTGGATTTGAGCTGTTCGAGTTCCTATTGAAGGGTATAGTTGGCGAGTGCGTCACCACCCGCTCCAGAAGCATCATAGCATCACCCCCCAGAGTTTACGTATATCTTTCTCAAGCCACACATGCACAGCAAACCACAGCTTTGAAGTCTCATTCGTGCTTTGAACTTGTATAGGTGTGTAAATAAGGGGTATAGCAACATAGCATTTATACGGACCCAGGGTAGCTACAATTCTGTTCGCAGGTATCACGCGCATGAGGCTTCAAAGCTGTGGTTTTCAAGCTAAATTCAAGGTGGCCTGAGACCAGGGTTTGCTGCCCTAAAACACTCTGTTTAGGCCACCTTGAAAATGAAGGTCTGCGAAGCGAGAGCAAAGGACTTTCCACCTCCTCGCTTCCCAGTCTTCCCAGGGTTCATATAGGGAGCCAGGCCATTTTCAGAATCTTCTGGATTTGAGCTGTTCGAGTTCCTATTGAAGGGTATATGTTCTCGTTGGCGAGTGCGTCACCACCCGCTCCAAAAGCATCAAAGCATCACCTTCCAGAGTTTACGCATATCTTTCTCGAGCCACACATGCGCAGCAAAACACAGCTATGAAGTCTCATTCGTGCTTTGAACTGGTATAGGTGTGTAAGAGGTATAGCAACATAGCAGTCATACGGACCCACGGTAGCTACAATTCTGTTCCCAGGTATCGCGCGCATGAGGCTTCACAGCTGTGGATTGCTGTGCGTGTGTAGAGGTTATCGAGCGGTTGACGGAAAGGGAACTTGAAGTATTATACCTGGTAGCTGCACTATAGCTACCCTGGGTCTCTATACCTGGCAAGGTGCCAACTACACCTTTCCATTCAGATGACGCAAATGATGCAAATTGCATTTCTTGCATCACCACCCCTCAAAAATCACCTCCAACACCACCTCAAAAAACCTTCCCTCGACGCACCCTCCTCCCCCAGCATGTGCCGAGTTTACGTGTACCTTTTGCGGGCCACCCCCCCAGACCCCCTAACTCACTTCGTTCGCCAAACACAACTCCGCTGGCGCCTTCTACGAAGGCTGGCTTTCGTAATAAATCGAGTGCCCCCCCACTTTTGGAGTCTCGTCTGGAGAGCCAAGTGGTTCGTAGAACCGTTCTATGCAGGAGCCTGGGGGGACTGATTTTACGGATGAAATTTTTACGGGGATATATTTGCAGTCATTTACAGTGTAAACGTTTGAAGCATGCAGCCAATTGCTCTTCACACGTGGTCTCTGAGGCCGCGCCCCAACGCCATGGCCCCTCCCGTCCGCTCGATCTGGGTCCGCCGCCGTGGGAAGTTCCCCATTGATGCCCCGGATGGTGTGCACACGGGGAATCGGGTCCTGTGGCCGACCGAAGGGTCAAGCGCCTGGGAGGTGTCCCATCGTCGGAGCGATCTGGTGTTCTTTTCGGGTGAAGGGAAATTCGCGGAAAACAAGACGCACTGACTTGGTGAATTCGCGAAAAAAGCCTTGGAAGGAGTTTAATCCCGTCCCCCTAATAATAAACACGGCCCCCCCCCCTATTAAAAAAACCTCGGTCGCATTTTTTTTAATAGGGGGTCCCTGAAATCGGGGGGGCCCAAAATAGGGTCACCTGGAAAGAGTTTCAAAACCAAAAAGTAATCCAGGAAAATTTTATATAAAATCCTTTATTAAACTCGTATCAAAAATGCAAAAAACCGCCAGATCGAAGGGTCTTCCTTTTCCCCTACAAAAACCTTCATTAGAATAGTGATTCTTCAGTAGACTAACAGCTAAAGCTTTCGAAAGGTGATGTCGCTGTGCCATGCGGTGTTGCATGACCTCGGTGGCAAGTGCCTTTGCGTGAGTCCGTGCCATTGAGGGAAGGAAAGCCTGCTGGTGTAAGTGCGGCGTGTCATGGTGGAGTTTTGGGGAACCTAATAAAAACAACTACCCCCAAAATCGACCATGTTGGTAGTTTAGTAGCGGTTTGAAAGGGCGGCAATTTAAAACCAAATATAAACCGAATTTAGGGGATCCGGCATGACTTTTTTTTAATTGGGGTCCGTTTTTTAATAGGTACTCGGGATTATTCAAGAACAACGTGCTTTCTCAACTGCTCACTTTCAGCCGACAGTCCCCCAAAAAACACCCCCCGTCGGGTCGGCTGGTTGAGCTGGGCGGCTGGAAGAAAAGGCGGAAGATGGCGGAAGATGGTCGGCGCGGGGACTCCAAAAAGGCACCAAATGATAGTTCCATTGATAGTCCATATGGGCTTGGGCCTTTCGGAGCGGGTTCGGTTACAGATGTTCTTCCGAATTCCCCACGCGACAGTTCAAGCCTTCCAACCACCGGGCGCTTCCTTCACCCTTCGCAACAAAAAGAGTTCACTGCAACCCCTGGGCCCATGAGGTGTGCTCCCAGGCTCCCAGGCGATGATGGCCCGCTGGCAGTTTGCAAAGCGTTCACACTTCTTGGTGACCTGAGAGGAGGACTATGCGGAGAACGGGGAGGCCAGGTAGGGGAAATCACAACCCATGCTTCAAAGGACTGGGAAGTTAAGTGCTTAGTTTCAGGACAGATAGTTATCAGAAAGTCCAACACTGTGACGCGGATTCCACGCGCCGGGTCATTACCTAAGTAGGTCATCAGCCTAAAACAAAGGGTTGGCTGTCCCAAAGGTCAGGCGTCTTTGACCGTTGGAATTTTGGATGTTTTGTTCGCGGCCCTGTCACCGTTGGCGAGCGGCTTTCGACACGCCCGGCCAGTTGACCGGACATGACGTTGATACATGCCAGGACCAAAACGTCTTGACAAAACAAGCAACAAGTGAGTCAGCGAAACCATGAAGAACATGGAGCTCTTAAATTGTTCTGTTGACTCTGTTGACTCAGCAGTTGCACTGGGTGGGGTGTGTTGAGCCACCTTAGGACCTTAAGGACCTTGTGATTGGTTTTCGGCTCCAGCCGGGCAAGTTTTCTTTGACAGCCAGATCTTGAGCTCTGATCTGTAGACCTATAAGCTCTTAAAGACTGGCGAGGGAACCCTTCAAAGTCATAAAACATGGTTGTTCGAGCACTGTATCTCCATGTAGCTCCATTAAATCATTAGTTTAGCTGGCTGCATGCAACCAATCAGCACTTCAACCACCGAATTGGATCCCAAAACCGATGATCCAAAGCCAAGAGATCACCTAAACATGCTGGCAGCCTTCGCGATCGAACGCAGACCGAACGCAGATTGGTTGATGTCAACATCACGTCCTCCAATTCTTGCGCTGAAGACTGAACACTCTAGCCGCAGCCAAAAACTCTAGCCAAACACTCTGGGAAAACCCACGCAGGGCCATATATTGTCTTTCCCCACACTCTCGGTGGGAGAAACTTGAGCACCACTGCCACTACGTCTTTTCGTCTCCAAGGTGATCTTCCCACAGTCCTGGGTATCTTACCGGGAAGCAACGTTGGCTGATGGTTCGCCACACAGCCCTGAAACCATGTCTCTGAGCTATCCACATCGCTATAAACAAAGCAGCCACAAAGCCTGACCACGTCGCTCTCGCCGGAGAGGTCCCATTCTGGTCTTCGGGCGCAGGTAAATGGTCGTCTAATCGTCGAAAAACATCCATATAGTGGTCAACCGAAACCTGGATGCCGGGATAGTAAGACAAAGACGTCAAAGTTTGAACCCGCGTGGGCGCGGTGAGCGGCCCTGGAACAACTGACTGACACTACAAGATCGTTGCGGACGGATGGGATGCAAATCCATGTTCTGGGCACAAAAGCAACTCTCCGGGTCGGAAACTGAACGTCAACATGAGGAAGTCACCCAAACCGCAAAACCCTAGTAAAAACCACATGTTTTATATCAGCGGGTCGTCACATCAACAACTCATCACCATGGTGTTCTACTGATCACACGAACGAAACCAGCCCCCCAACCCCCACGAACCTCCCGTAGAATCTTCTGTCGTCGCGTCAACAACTCATCAACAATTGATCATCATGGTCTGAACATAACAATAACAGCCATGGCCACCGGGTCGGAAAATTTCAGCTTTACATCGATGGATAGAAAGTGTGACTACACGTAAGGTTACCGAACCGGTGGCAAAAGCAACTCCTAACTTGACTCTTAAGCTTGCAGAACATGCACAAATTGATGAACCATGGAATTTGCAGGTCGGAACTCAAGAACATGACATGTTCACAATGAAGCCATGGAATGAAGATACCACTACAGTGTTGGGGAACTCCAATTTGAGCCACAAAAACATGGTTAATTTCACCATATCTCAAGAACAAAGTACCTCTCAAACCGACTGTTGAAACATGTGTTTAAAGTAACGCGCTTCAACGTACAGTAGTTGTTGCAAAGCAAGCGGACTTCGATCGGGCCAAATGCCTACAAAGGGCTCCTTATAAGCACTCCGAACAAAATCCAAGAAGGACTGCAAGGAGTATGAGGTCAAAGTATACTGTAAAATTAGACGTTCCACAGTTCAGATCTGTTCAATGGATAGCAGCACCTTTGGGCCGTTAATGGCCGTTTCGCTGCAACGTCCACCCGAATTCACGTCGCCCATTTGAACGGGAACCGCCCACCTGCTCATGGCACACAGGTTCCGGCACCAAGTCAAAGAGACTCCCGGAGGACTCTCCTAGGCATCCAAACAGGTGATGAATAGATAATAGCAACAGTGATGTGTGTGAGTCAGGTGCTCAGTATCACAAGACAACTCAAAGTTTTTGTAATACGGCTTAATACGGGCAATTCGTTGCGAAAAACGTGGAATAACCGCTGACGCAGCAACAAAAATATCGACTCATCGCTCGGTTTCGTGGAGGGTCTGACGGTGTGCAGGGTGATCCACCGATCTGCTATATACATGTATATACACCTGTTTCCACTCCCAGCGATAGCTGCTTGCAAAAGTCCAAGCAGCAAAAAAAACAACAAATCATGTTTACGTCATGTTACGACTCATGTTTGTTAAGCGCTTGTTACAATTTCCCTGTGTCAAAACCCATTTTGGGGTTTGGCTTTGTCAAATCATGTTTGTTGCTTCGTGGTCAAAGAACCAAATTAAGTAAACCAAAAAATATGCGCAGTGGACACCGCAAAGCTGGATCTGCTGTAGGCCCAATGCAGCCAGCGCATATCGGTGCATTTTGTGCCACCCCGGCGGGCCCTGCCCTTTCCACCCCGAAAACAAACCAAAATACACCGCTCCTGCAGTGGTCGTGTTTCGACTCCCACCTGCGGTGGGCAGGCGAAAATCAGTGAGGAATCACAAGCCATTCATTTTTAGACGTTTCTGGGACTCACCATGACTCACCTTTGAATCGCTGGTGTTGTTTGCTATCTTTGGATCAAACATGTTTTTCTCCGCGTCAGAAACATCACAATCAAGTTACGTGGTCTAAGGCGTAGACCGTTCAAACGCAGCAACCGTACTGTACTGACAATACCAAGCGCAGAGAAATATTATAAGTATATAGGGGTTTCGCCGACCAGGAACCCATAGTGTTTTGATCGCCTTTCAACCGTCAGTTGCAAATTGCATCTTCTGAATGCAATGCGTCATGAACACATTGCATTACATGACATGACATTACATTACATACGTGCATACATACATACATACATGCATACATACATAGACGCATAGACACAAAAACACACGCGCACACACACTAAAAGTTTCTCAAGAGGATGCCTGCGAGTGGTTTGGAGGTGTTGACCTTTTGGACAGCGGTAAGAAACTTAGACGAAAGAGCGTGTCATAAAGAAGTAAGCATGTACATGAAGGCATATGTATATTTAAATATGATATATTATATAATATTATATATTATATACTATATATATAAGTACTGCATATCGAAGCAGGTATCCTCATTAGTTATCGCAAACAAGTTGGTGCTTTTGCGGCTTCGATTTAGTCAAGTTTTCAACCGTAAATAGAAGCTGGTGTAAAGGAGCGTGTGCGAACATTTAGGAATGTACTCCCTGATAGAAGTTATCTTGTGGTCAAAGCCACGGGGTCGTGAGCGACGCGGGGGAAGTTGCAGGCAGGATGACGTGCAGAAGCCCAAGCCTTGTCCGATGTCGAGGATGAAGAACCAGGTTTCAAATAAGGATATGGATATAGGTCTGATGAAGCAGAAGAAGAAGGAAGAAGAAGAAGAAGAACACCAGAGGCCCAGGACAAACGCAAGGCCACTGAGGATCCAAAAAAACATCAATCCTCTTTATATGTTGGTAGGGACAATGACGAAGAAGACCCTGATGACCCTCCGGCCCCTATACCGGGCGCTTGACAAGTATATCAAACTCCGAGTCGTACCGTCCTAGCTGGGAACTCGTCAGATCCACGCACACCAGCAGAAATTGGTGGGAACCTTCAGAGGAAGAACCAGAGTCTATGCGCGTTGCTGTCGACACCAATATGGACACATGATTTTGCTGGGACGGCTTTTCAGAGGGCGTGGGCTTCCACGCGCTTTGCAAGTGTCCCAACAAAATGGTGGTATGAACCAACATTGAAGTCGATACCCGTCTTCAGTCTTCACTACACGGCCAATGACGATTGCATCAACGAAGAGCACTGTGCTAAAAGGAGAAAGCGTTATTGGCTTCACAACATTGTCTCCAATGTCACGCATTCTTTGCTTTCTCGACATTTGCCATGGTTTCACAGGGTCGCCATGTAAAGAACAATGTTCAAGCGATGTTCTATGGTGTTCTTACGTGCTGGGTACTCGACCAGAGCCAACACGAAAAGTACAACCAGGGATATAACTTACCTTCACCGCAACCGATTTCCAAATTGGGCCAACCAAGAGTACAACCAAACCTTCAATCAGGTCTTCACCAGGGACTTGACAAGGCTTTCAGACACCTGCTCAAATTGCAAAGACATGGTTCAGATTGCCATCCTGCACATGTCAACAACTTTTCACCGAGTTTGGATCGGTCAAGCTTTTGCAACGCTGAATAGACTGGATTTGACCTGAACCTGTCGCTGGTGTTGCTTGGCCTTGTTCACGCTAGGACAACCAACATGTACTTATCTTTTGACACCAAAATGGACACCAAACTTTTCTTGAGCGAAGCCACCTTTTATACAATCTTTTCGCGCTGGAAAGCACGGCCAACAAAAAACAAGGTGTCACGTCCTTTCGGGCCCCCGTATTCGTGTGGGCAGGCCCACGCGAAATGCAGGTTTCGTGTTGCGACATCCCCGAAAAGAAGTGTACTCGCATCCTTTTTCTGCTATCAAGGTTTCCGGCTCTGTGGCGGTAGATCCAATGGTAAACACAATTCCACAGCCTGGCACGCTTCGTCCTTTGGCATGCTTTGTCCATTGACTCTTCACATGCTTGACCTGCTTCACAGTCACGGAAACCTGAGCGGACTATCTCTGGGCAACTTTCTTGTAGCACTAGCTGAACACGTTTCAATTCAGCTGGGGCGACAATCACACACACAGCCACCAAAACATAAACCTGCCAACCTCTTGTTTACGCCCAAGTGCCGGGCATCACGCGACCCAGCCGCAGGGGCAGGTGGCGTCACCGGCAACGCCGTCCCCCCCGCTCCATGCTGCTTCGGTGTCCACAACGTACTGTGGCGCACTCCATATGCTAACGAAGGCACGAACGAACGTCAGTTGTCCCCCCCCGCCCAGCCACATGTAAATGAACATCAACATGTTGGTCAACAAACATGAAAACACAGTCAACATGTTGGTCAGCAAACTAACTATCCCGGCAAGAGACCCCCCAAACAGTGTGTGTGTGTGTGTGAGGTCTAGATGTGTAGCAGCAGAAATCTAGTGAGTGAGGGAGTGAGCGAGGGAGGGAGTGAGTGAGTGAGTGCGTGGGTCTGTGGGTGGGTGGGTGAGTGAGAGAGAGAGAGAGAGTGAGAGTGAGAGGCTGTGCCTGCCACGAAATCTGCACTTTGAGGTTCACAAAGTGCTGCGCCTACCGCGAAATCTGAACTTTGAGGTTCACAAAGTGCTGCGCCTGCCACAAAATATGCACTTCGAGGTTCACAAAGTGATGCGCCTGCCGCGAAATCAGCACTTTGAGGTTCACAAAGTGCTGCGCCTGCGCCTGCCACGAAATCTGCACTTCAAGATTCACATGCGGCAGCCCTGACAAGGCGTTTCACCGCAAGAATGCTTCGAGAGACAGAATACAGACACCAAAACGCAGCTTTCGCGCGAGACTTCCTCCGATTTCTGAAAACGATCCACATGTACATGTACAAGTCACGGCTCACTGCACCTGTCACGAAATTATAGAGCGCGTCGAAGATCACCACCATGCATGAGGCATGAATGTCCTGTAAATAGCAGCGAATTAGCCGGACACGTTGGTGCAACACCTCGATTTGACACCGGTGCTTAACCCTTACCGTAAGAACCTCTAGTGTAACCACATTGTTTGGGGAAACTAAACATCCCACACAAAAAATCAACTGCACGCCTCCGGGGGCCCGTATGGCCGTGACACCAAAAACAACAAGCACTCCATCATGGGTGATCTTACCATAAGGCAGCTGACAGCTTTTTGCATCTGTTCGATCTGGTCCAGTCACACACTTGGGAGCCAGCGAAAGCTTTCAGCTATCGGTTGACTCCATCTCTGCACAAATCCCAGGCCCGGGAAGGCTGATTTCAAACTGGTTCCCAACCTTCCCAGGCACTCTGCTTTTCGCAAAGGTATAGGAGCAGGGTGAGCAACGCATTTTTGTGAAGACACTGAGATGCTGCGGAAGGCAAGTCAAAAACAGAAGCGAGAGGTCGAGTCTCTGGCACACCCATCGGCCCATCAGCCGATGGGTGCACCGTAGCTTGGAAGGCGGAAGGCTCTAAATCCCTGAGAAGCAGTGTTCCTCCAACACACCCTCACAATACCGGTCTTCTGCTGAGCCTCTAACGGCCTGCCAAACTGTTGCGTTCAATTCATCGGCCAGCAGCGCTGCCACCGCCGGAAAACTCGAGTGTAGGTCAAACACCACAAAAACCCTGAACGCATGGGATCGCTTCACCGTGAAAGTAAATTTTCATAGCCCAGGGCATTGCTTTGCTTTTCTGACCCACACCTACCTCAAATTAACAGAAGGGGCCGAATTCTTGGCCCAGGATTGCCTGGAGCAAGTGGGGTTTGGAGTTTATCTTTCTCACCCGGATCAATGACCTTTCTTCCAACACTCCTGGAAAGTGGAAAATAAATGAAAATACATCATGAACATACCATGTTTGCAAAGGAACATTTCACTTCAGCTCTTGGAACACAGCACGACACATACACAGATTGTTACTATTCATCTCCAACCTGCCCGGCCCAAGCTCCAGCCAACGACCATAAAACTGGTTTACACTAGCGCGTTCTGGTTCACCTCAGCTGGTGCGGAACTCTCCTCTGCAGGATTCGTCTGCTTCTCGGCGGGGTCCGCCTTGCCATCTTGACTGGCAGAGCTCCTGATGATAGCGACGATCGGCTTTCGTGGCACGACGTAACACGTAGTTCTGTGATCTGAGATCTGCTTGCGTGCTTGACACACTCGTTCCGGCTTCCCACCCCGCCGTTCGTTGTTCTCCTGATCG